TTTGGTCCTTCGAGCCGGATACCACGCTGTCTGAAATGTCTCACTTAGAAGCACGGATTGCTCTGCAGAGGAGCAGGTTCTCTCTTATTGAAAATGCTGCTGACTTCGGCGAATCAGAGGGCTCAGGTTTGTCTCGTCAGTTGGTAGTTACACGGATGGACATGCTCGAACAAAACTGGATGAAGTTCCAGGAGGAGCATGTAAACATGTGCCTCACGGAGAACGAAGCCTTAAGCGAACAACCTTACCTGAAGGAGCGAGTATATGAACGATGTCACGCATTTTATGTGTACTCTCGTGCCAAATTGCTCACTCAGCGAGACGAGTTCGACACTCTTGATCGACACTCTAGATCCTCACTTTCAGACCATGTAGCAGCCCCGTCATCATTGCCTCGTAGTGCTTTGCCACGAATAAAGTTACCGAGTTTCGCTGGAGACTACAATACATGGAGGGCATTCCACGATTTGTTCACTTCGCTCATAAAGGAGAACGCAGATCTAACGAGCGTAGAGAAATTACACTACCTTAAGACGTGTCTCACAGGAGAAGCAGCCCGGTTAATATGCAACCTACCCGCTTCAGGAGACAACTTTACAGTTGCGTGGTCTTTGTTACTGTCAAGATACGAGAATAAAAGGTCTCTCATCACCACACAATTAGACAGGATTACAAGCTTAAAGCCGCTTAAAACGAAGTCGGCTCAGGGTTTAAGAACCTTACACACGACTCTATCGGAAGCATTAGGTGCCATGCGGGCCTTGGGATGTGCTGTACATCAATGGGATCCGCTACTTTTGCATCTCATCGTAAAGCTATTGGATCCAGAAACACGCGAAGCCTGGGAAGTTCAGCTTGGTTCCTCGCCGACCTATCCCACATACGCTCAATTCGAGGAGTTTCTCATCGGACGAACGAGAGCGATGGAAAATCTTGGCCAACAAGCCATAACCACCGGATCACATAAGGCACACTCAATTGAGTCAGCAGGAAAACCACGCCCGAGGGTTACAGCTTATGCCGCTACATCTTCTTCCGATACAGGTTCATGCCCGCTCTGTGAATCCGCGCACTACCTAGCGAAGTGCGATCGTTATTCAGCGAAGACCGTACAACAAAGAAGAGACGTGATCTTGAAACACAAAAGGTGTTTTAATTGCCTCGGTCCCCACTCAGCAAGCAAATGCCATTCTACAAGAAGATGTCAGAAGTGTGGGAAAAAACATCACACCACAATTCACGATGGCAGTAGCGCAAGTTCTACAAAGCACACAACGGAGGGGAAGACGAAGACTGATAATGCCCAATCCTCAGCTCAGCCGCAAAATCCACCTCTGACACAATGACAACCAAGAGCGTGCGCACATCAGCTTAGCCGTGCGCAATCCTCCCGAAAGCTTACACTGTTAGCAACAAGCAGAGCTGTATTGAATACGGAAAATGGTGGATCCTATGTAGTACGTCTGCTCATCGATCAGGGCTCAGAACTATCCTTCATCTCGGAAGAGATGGTTCAACGCGCAAAGCTCAAAAAATCTCCCGCTTCGGTACCACTTCTAGGTATTGGTGGGACATACGCAGGCCGCACTAAAGGTATAGTTTCGATACAGTTAAACTCTATTCATGATCCGACTTCACATTGCAGCATCGATGCTTATATATTACCTCGACTGACAACGAAGCTACCATCCGAAGAAGCGGCCTTCCACTCATGGCCTCACTTAACTGGATTACAACTGGCGGATCCAGACTACGGTAAACCCGGACTTATTAACATCATCATAGGATCTGACAACTATGGTTCGGTAATTTTGCCAGGCCTCATACAAGACCAACATTCTGCACTTACCGCACAACAAACCGTTTTTGGATGGGTGCTCTCCGGAGCGGTCAATGCAAGCGACACAACCTCAGTCTCGCAGGCCCATCACTGTACCCCGGATTATGAGCTGAAGGAACTGATCAAGAAATTTTGGGAGCTTGAGGAGTTGTCTGCTACAAAGACTTCCAAGTTGACCGAAGATGAAGAAGAATGTGAGAGGCACTTCCAGTCGACTCACACCAGAGACTCTTCTGGTCGATACACGGTTCGCCTTCCTCTCAAAGGTGAACCTACACTACTGGGAGACTCGAGGATTGGAGCTCTTCATTCTCTAAACAGATTGTTCAAACGATTCTCCTCTAACCCGGCCTTTCAGAGGAGCTACACAGATTTCATCGTGGAGTACCAACGCTTAGGGCATATGGAAGAAGAGGATTCGCCTAATCGTCAGATCACCCCGGAATACTATCTCCCACACCATGGTGTGCTTCGAGAAGATAGTCGCACTACAAAATTGAGAGTTGTGTTTAATGGTTCTTATCGGACAACCAGTGGACACTCTCTCAATGACATACTTCACGTCGGAGCAAAACTGCAGAATGACATAACGGACGTACTTTTATGGATTCGTACCTACCGAATCATCTTTTCAACTGATATAGTGAAAATGTTCCGTCAAATTGCGATTCACGAAGAAGATTGGAAGTTGCAAAAAATACTATGGTACAAAGAGGACAACAGACTTGTCTCATACCGCCTCACCACCGTGACTTATGGTCTGAATTGCGCTCCCTTTCTCGCGCTGCGTACGCTACAACAGTTGATCCAAGACGAAGGTCATCGATTTCCAAAGGCGATAGCTCCCATGGAAAGGGGTAGGTATGTCGATGACATCTTCGGGGGAGCTGACTCTTCTGACGAAGCGAAACAGGTTATACAACATCTAATCGGACTCTGCGAAGCTGGAGGATTTCCGCTGCAAAAATGGAGTAGCAGTCATCCAGAGATCCTGCCCAAGTCTGGTGATGATTCGCAACGCACTGTCGAATTTGAGCCTGCACAGTTTAAGTTATTGGGCCTGCAATGGAAATCCATCTCAGACAGCTTCCACTTTTCAGCCGTGACAACATCAAAAGCCACTTCACTTACGAAGAGAGTGGTGTCCTCAGAAGTAGCGCGGTTGTATGATCCCCTGGGTCTCATAGCTCCGATTCTGGTGAGAGCAAAATTTATCCTTCAGGAACTCTGGCTACTAAAGAACGGATGGGACGACCCCCTCCCAGCAGAACTTCAAAAAAGATGGAGGGAATTCAGATTGCAATTGCAGGAACTTGAACAAATATCTATACCGAGATGGCTCGGTAACGTTAGTTCCCCCCCTTTAATTGAAATACATGGTTTTTCAGATGCTTCTCAACTAGCTATGGCGGCTGCCATCTATACCAGAATCTCAAATGAGGAGGGCAAGGTCATCACACGATTGGTGTGTTCTAAGACTAAAGTAGCGCCAATCAAGAGAATCTCAATCCCACGTCTCGAGCTCACCGCTGCCCTGCTTCTGGTGCGGTTGATAAAGAAAACCACCCAAGCGCTTGAGCTTGCGAAACCGTCGATAACTTGCTGGACTGACTCCTCGGTGACGCTCATATGGATAACCACGCATCCAGCCCGATGGAAAGACTTTGTATGTAATCGTGTTTCAGTCATAAATGAACTCTTGCCGGAAGCAACCTGGCGATTTGTACCGGGCAAGGAGAACCCGGCAGACTGCGCATCTCGAGGATTGACGCCTGCTCAATTAGCTCAACATGAATTATGGTGGAAGGGTCCCACCTGGTTGCCCGAACCACGGTCATCTTGGCCTGCAACTGGAACTAGATCCTCGCAATTAGTCGACATGGAGGAACGAACAAGGATTATTATGACAACAGTCGCTCGGCAAACTCCCCATTGGGAATTGTTGGACAGATATTCTTCTATCACTAGACTGTTTCGCATCACTGCCATCTGTAAGAGGATTCTTTCTTGTATGCGAAAATTGCCGAACTCATCGCCCTTGAAGTATCCGCTGACACCGCTAGAAATACAACAGAGTCAACATCTCTGGGTTCGTATAATACAACAGGCGGCCTTCTCTTACGAGATTGGAATCCTTTCCAGAAACGAGCATCTACCTAAATCCAACCCGTTGGTTCGTCTTACTCCGTACCTGGACAAAGACAGACTGCTTAGAGTAGGAGGGAGGTTACACAATGCCCAGATCGATACAGACTCTAAGCATCCACTCATACTTCCCAGAAGGTCACCTCTAAGCACGCTAATTATAGATGACGCACACAAAAGGATGCTGCACGGAGGAACTCAGGTTACCCTGAATTTCATAAGGAGCACGTATTGGATCATCGGCGGAAGAGCACCAGTAAGGTCACACATTCTGAGGTGCGGAAGATGCACACGTTATAGAGGTGTGAGAGCTCAACAATTAATGGGACAGTTGCCACCGTCTCGAGTAGTACCAGCTCGACCCTTCTTCAACTCCGGACTTGACTATGCCGGTCCCATAATGCTGAAGACTTGGAGAGGGCGGGCGGCACGCACCTACAAAGGATATTTGGCGGTATTCGTGTGTCTCGCAACCTCAGCCATTCATTTAGAGGTCGTTACAGATTATACGACCGACGCCTTTATTGCCGCCTACAAACGCTTTACAGGAAGAAGGGGAATCTGTGCAACTCTTCAATCAGATTGTGGGACGAATTTCGTGGGAGCTGACGCGGAGTTGAGACGTCAATTCGAGACCTCCTCTAAGGAATTACATGAGCTAGCTTCAGTTCTAGCGAGTGATAACACCAAGTGGATATTCAACCCCCCCTCAGCACCCCACTTCGGTGGAAAATGGGAGGCGGCGGTCAAGTCTACGAAGTTCCACTTGCGAAGGATACTAAAGGATACTACTTTAACCTACGAGGAATTAACAACCGTCACGGTGCAGATCGAGGCAGTGCTGAACTCCCGACCGCTGTGTCCGCTATCAGACGATGCGACGGACTATACCGCCTTAACTCCTGGGCACTTCCTGATAGGAGAACCACTGACTGCCCTTCCAGAACCTAGTCTGACAACAGAGAAGAACTCCAGGCTCTCGCGTTGGCAACTCCTCAGACAGAAGGTGGATCACTTCTGGTCGAGATGGTCGACCGAGTGTCTACAAAGATACCAGGCTATTTCCAAGTGGCATCATCCGTCCAATGAGATCAAGAAAGGGTCATTGGTACTAATCACTGACGAGCGTTATCCACCAGGGAAATGGCCCCTCGCACGAGTGATTGAACTACATCCTGCGTCAGATGGGTTAACCAGAGTTGTCACCGTAAGGACAGCTACTTCCACTTTCAAAAGGCCAATCGCAAAACTCTGTGTCTTGCCCACGGATTCCGACCTCACAAATTCGACGGAGCCCTCGTCGAAGGCGGGCGGAAAT